GGACTCCGAATGCCACCTTAAAATGTGCTTGTGTTTCCTACACAGGGATCTGTCCAGCTCTTCGTTGCCAGCAGGGGCTCTGCTCCATCCCTCCATCAGTTCCCTCAGTTTTCTGCTCCACCAGTTGTTCTGCTCCATCCCTCTCCTCTTCCAGAGCAATCACTCGATGGCTTTTGCCAAAGAACTGACTCTCCCTGTCTCCAAGATGGGAATATATCTTATTCCTCACAGGAACTTCTGTCCCAAGAGGTCAACTCTTTGTAACATGCAGCTCCAGCTGCAATTGCCAAGTGCTCAGAGGGGAGTTCAGGTGATGGTTGTCTTGTAGASGCTCTCTCTAAATGACAGAGGCTGATGCTCCAGGTCATAAAATTGTCTGGAAAACCAGCAAAGGAAATTCTGCTTCTTTAGATCTTACCTGTCTTCACATCAGAGGATCTTCGCCCCATCCAACAGTACCACCATGGAGCAGAATAATGTATAAGACTGTGGAAAGCTTCTCTGCAGCCTTGTAAGGCAAAATCCAAAGAGCAGTTGGGCTCCAGGCAACAGAGCCAGTGGCTTTTGAAGGACAAACCCTTATTTCTTCCGGCTATTCTGCAGCCCAAGCGCTGCAGCAGGGAGGAACTGAAAAGAAGTTGCCTTTGGGTTTTCATCACATATTAGTGAAGTAGTTGGTGCGGTTTTATACTCAATTTCTCTTTAATTCTCCTTTTCTGTGGGACTTKCCCTGCTTGCTGCACGGCAGGTAAGGGGAGCGCTCCATCATCCTCCCTGCAGGCTTGTGGTGCCAGCCCCGTTATCCCCGGGTGAAAATGCCGTGCTGCCGTGTAAATCCCAGCGGGATCCCTGCAGACTGTGAGCTGCTCCTTCTCTGAACCAGCCCCTTCTCTCCCTGCAGCTTGCGGATTCGCTCGTGCCCTTGGAGATCAAGCCGGGTATCTCGCTGGCCACCGTCTCCGCCGTGCTGCACACCAAGGACAACAAGCACGTGCTGCAGGTAGAGCGCCACGGCAGAGGGGAAAGATGGGAACCTGCTCCCGAGGTTGCCCTGGTGCCCAGGAATCCCTCTGGGCATCCCATGAAGCAGAGGGAACTCCGAGGGCTACATGGGGAGAAAATCCCTCTCTTTCCCTCTCCCACCCCCTTGGAAATGCTCGGAAATGCGGAGGCTCCGCGGTGCCCAGCGGAGCCACTGAGCAGGAGGTGCCTCCATTGCCTTTTCCTTCGGAGCTTGAGCGTGCAGGGACTCGGGCTCTGATGCCAGGGCTCATCCCAGGCTCCCCCATCGGGCAGCTCCACTGGGAAGAGCCCGGGGCCGCGGGAGCGATGCAGGCACACGAGCAATGGGGCACATTCCTCCTGAGCACCTTTATTTTCCCAAGGACCGAGTTGCTAATTCACTGCGGAGCAGCCTGGGCTGCCACCTCCCCAGCCTGACCACCATGGCACAGGGCACGTGGCCTTATTTAATGCAATAACTTCTCCCTGGTTTATTTTACAGACATCTATTTTTCATCTCTCTGAAGTGTTTGGGATGACACCAAGATCCCAGTCCAGGGACTTTTCAGCCGCTATCTGTGGCATCTCCAGTGCCTCCCTGCCTGTGTCCGAGATCTTCCTAAAAACTCACTTTTCTGCTGTGAAAATCACTCATTTCCCTCATTCCCCAGCTAGTTACCTGCTCCTAATTTGCCAGGGTTGCCCAACCTGTCTTTTAAACTGGGATTTTCCCAAAGTATTGAGCTCCTTAAAGCAAGATTCCTAGGAAATACCGCAGGGTACCTGGGTGCTGGAACAGAAAGCTTCAACCTTGAATTGAGCCCTTTGGAGATGATAGAAATTCGAATGAAAAAAACTGAAAAATGCCTTTTTTTTTTTTCCCTTCTCCCTCTGGAAAAGGTGTCTTGTGTTCCTGGAGGTGCAGTGGTGGCTGGGGACACGTTTTCTCCCCTCCAACCCTGCARTCACCCAGAACAGAAAAAAAGGTCACTGTCCCTTTTGTCACCGTCCCTTTTTGTCACTGTCCCTTTTTGTCACCGTCCCTCTCCCACGTGTCGAGCGGCGCTGCCAGGATTCACTGTCCCCCTTCTCGTCCCCGCCAGCTCCCTCCGAAGCCTCCGCAAGCCGCCGCCAGCAAGAAGAGGAAGCGGGTGAGCGACGACGTGCCCGAGTGCAGAGCCCTGCGGCCGCTGCTGAGCGGCTCCATCCCCGTGGAGCAGTTTGTGCAGACCCTGGAGAAGGTGCAGAGCGGGGACGGGTCATTCCTGGTTGGAGGGATTGAGTCCTGGGGGACATCAGGTTGCCCATGTGGGACCTTGTGGCCAAGGAGGCCAGTGGGCTCCTGGCTGCATCCGGAGGCCGTTGGCAGCAGGGCAGGGAGGGGATCCTGCCCCTCTGCTCAGCTCTGCGGAGGCCAAAGCTGGAGCGYTGGGGGCAGCTCTGGGCTCCCCAGGACAAGGGGGCCGTGGAGCTGCTGGAGAGGGGCCAGCGCAGAGCACCAGGGCTGAGGAAGGGCCTGGAGCAGCTCTCGTGTGAGGAGAGCCCGAGCGAGCGGGGCCTGCTGAGCCTGGAGAAGAGGAGGGTGAGAGGGGAGCTGGTGAGTGTGTCCAAGGAGCYGAGGGGAGGATGGAGGGAGGAAGGTGCAAGCTCTGGTGGGTGGTGGCCAGGGGCAGGCCAAGGGGCAGTGGGTGCAGGTTGCAGCGCAGGCAGCTCCATGTGGCCGTGAGGAAGAACTTGTTTGGTGGGAGGGTGCCCGAGCCCTGGCCCAGGCTGCCCAGGGAGGCTGCGGAGGCTCCTGCTCTGCAGATCTGCCAGCGCGCCGGGATGCGCCCGGGTGCCCCGTGCTCTGGGTGTCCCTGCTGGAGCAGGGGCTGCGCTGGGGGATCCCTCGGGGTCCCTTCCAACCTTAATGATTCTGTGATTCCGGCACATCTTGAAATGGAGAGCCATAAATGAGCCAGGAAAGCACTTTGGGAATGCCTATCCCTGTGCCGACCACACAGAGGATGTTTCCCTGTGGAGGCTTGTCCTGGTATGGGTCGTTTCCCCTGAAAGCTGAGGGGGGTCACTCTGTAGGGAGAGTTCTCCCCCAGGTAGCTCTTCSCAATCCAGTTGATGCCAATAAACTGGAACGGGCAGGAGGAGGTGTCAGGAGCAGGTCGCTAAAAGCCCCTTCCCATCCCCTCCCCAGCACGGCTTCAGTGACGTGAAGGTGGAGGACACGGCCAAGGGCCACATCGTGCTCCTGCAGGAGGCCGAAACCCTCATTCAGCTCGAGGAGGACTCCACACACATCATCTGCGACAACGACGAGCCCCTGCGCGTGAAGCTGCGCGACCTGGTCCTCAAGTTCCTGCAGAAGTTCTAGCCGGGAACAGCCCAGGAGACGCTCCCGAGCCGAGAGCTCTTCCAGGGAGACTCCTGACCTCAAGAGACCAGAGACCTTTCAGGGGGAAATGAGAAAGTATTTTTAATATCTATATATTTTTTAAGTTTATTTTTAAGCAGTTTGGGGATATTTTGAAGGGGATTCCTATGCTGGGCCCTTTAGGAGGTTGTTCAGTGAATAAATGCTGTGTTTGTGGCAAGGCCGGCGTGAAACCATGTGCAGGAGCAGGTGTTTTCCGTGTGACCCCAGTCCTGCCCGGTGCCCCTCTTTGCAGGGGTGYTGAAGCAAAGGCCTCCGATAATAAAACGTATTTTTCTCCACGCTGCTTCTCCCCCGTCCACCCAGTCCACCCATCCATCCTGCCGCGTTTACACTGTCCATGTGTCTTGCACAAGCAGGAATTAAGACAAAGTTTGGAAGAATAGAAGTAGAAAACAGGGGGACTTGTGTGGGACTGGTGGAAGAGCAGCTTGGAAGGGGCAAGAACGGGGATTTTGTCCCCAAGGAGAGGCGGCTTTTGGAAAAGCCGCGTGCTGGAGGACAGGAAGGGACGTTATTGACACAGCAGCCCCCTGGGACCGGATTCATCCCGACATCCGAGCGGGAAACCTGGTGGCTCCAGAGGCACCGCTGGGATGGGGGCTCCGAGAGGGGCTGCTGGATCCGCCCGGAGTCGGAGCAGGATCCGCTGCCRAGGGCGCCGGGGCGGCCGCAAGGAGCCGTTTTCACCGCGACAAAATCATCATCACCCGGCACGTGGGGCCCCACCAGCAGATCTCATGGGGGACAAAGGGCAGCAGCCCAAGGGACGCGGAGCTTGGTCCCTTAAACACCCCCAAGTTGTGCAGCAATTTGAGCCGGCCCCAGGCCATGTGGGGCCTGGGTCAGATCCGTATTTCCCCTCAGTGCCCGAATAACCGCGGGGATCCCTTGGGAGCAGCGGCACGAGGGGGCTGGGTGGACGCAGAGGCGGAGACGCTCTCAAGTCAAACTCTCCATTTATTGGATCCTTTTACAAAAAAACCCTCRACTTTCCGGACTATTGTGCTCGTGGTGGAGGAGGGCGGCTCGCGGCCTCTCCTTTCGCGGCCTCTCCTTTCGCAGCCGGGCCCCGCGCCGGGAGCGGGCGCCTCCGTCCCGCCGGGCGGCCGTTTGGAGGCTCCTCCTGTTGGGAGGGAAGGGCCAAGGGAAGGGAGACGCGCGGCCTCCGGCAGGGAGGCCCCCCTGGCACAAGGGCCCCAGCAGCAGGGGCTGCCCCCAAAGTGCTTGTGAAGAGGCCACCCCGGCTCCCTGCGGCCTCCTCCCTGTCCCCATCACCTCCATGGCCTCAGCGGTGGCCGCAGGGCGAGAAGCCCCCGGCCCTGGTGCCCAGGAGGCTCCGAGAACAGAAGAGGAGGAGGAGGCTGCCGGTGGGAGGAAGGTTGGGGACGGCAGTCGCTCCCACGCTGGGAACAACCTCTCCGCATCTGACGTCTCCAGCCTGACCTTGCCGTGGTCACGGCGCTGGAGAGGAGAGAGGATCAGGGAGGAAGGGAAGAAAAGGGGAAAAAATGGGGAGAAAAAAAAAAAAAGCCTCACGGGGCAAACCTAAAACACTTCCATTTTAAATAACAATAATTAGAATTAAAAAGAAGGGCCGCCCTTGGCCAGCGCAGGGGCCGCTGCCCCGTGTCCGATGGCGCCGAGCGACTCTCGGGGCCGCCGGGCGGGCGCCCTGCCCTCCCCGGGGAGCCTCCTAGATGAACTTGAAGCACTTGGTCTTGTCGTGGGGCAGGCGGGTCTTGAAGAGCACCGAGTCGACGCGGAACTGGGTGTAGAGCAGCGGCATGTAGCCGTACACCTTGACGAAGAAGTTGATGCACTTGTGGCGCTCGTGGAAGTGCGAGTCGTCGTGCGACAGGGCCTGCGGGCAGCCGGGGCAGCGGAACGTCCAGCGGGAGGTCACCTGCGGGCACGGGGACAGGACGGCGCCGTCACCGCCGCGGGCTGCGCTTGGGCCCGCGGCGGGCACCGGCTGCCAAAAAGAGCCCATTGGAGACCCCATCTCTGGTTTTGGTGTTGGTTTGCGTGCTCCGGGGTGGTGCYCTCCGGTTCTGCCTTCCCCGATGCAGCCCCGACCTCTGGAACCTCCCGTTTAGCTCCAGYGGGAAAGGAGGCCGTGCAGCCAAGGCCGCGCGGCGCCCTGCCAGCCGAGACCCATCCCGACGCCACCGGCTGCTGTGGCGGGACCTGATGGATTCGCTCCCTAAATTCGTGCCCCAAACTCTTCACACTCATTTGTTATCATGGGGCAGGCAGAAAGCAGCCGGCTCCAGCGCTCGTGTGGACAACCCGACACACACAGAGGAGCCGAGATGTGTCTGCGAGGGCAGAACGGAGCCACAAGGGCAGCGTTTCTGCTCGGCCAGGAATGAAGTTCCTCCATCCTGAGCTGCTGTGGGGTGACCCTCAATTCATCCGGGTTGTTGGTTGTGCCCTTAACCAACGGCTGCTTCCCCCGAGACGCTCAGCCCCGTAGGAGCTCCCGGCCACTGACCTTGATGGGCGGCTTCCTGGTGAGGTGCGACACGAGGAAGTTCATGGCGATGTCCTCGCAGTTGATGTACTCGTCCACCATGTCGCGGATGGCCTGGGGCATCACGTACGAGTACAGGTAGGCGTAGTACTGCAAGGCACGGAGAGGCGCCGCGCGGCTCGAGGCGGGAGCGCGGCGGCCCCGCGGCGCCGCCGGCCCCGCCGCCCCGYGCGCCCCTCACCTTGTGGAAGAAGGCGGCCCCGGTGAGCACCATGGAGAGCTCGCACGAGTAGTTGGAGTTGTAGAGCCACGACTGGTGGGCCACGTCCCACGCGTGGTAGCGGCCCGGGAAGCCCACGATGCGGTCRCGGGCCTCGCGCCACACTCTGCAAGGAGCGGCGGCGCCTCAGACGCGGCTCCCGCCCAGCCCAGYCCTTCTTCCCACTCGGGAAATGGGGCAATAAGGGGCATTTTTGGCTGCAGGGGACCCTGGCGCATCCTGCTGTCCCCTGCGCGGCTGCCAGGGGCTGCAGGTAGCACTGGGGGGCAACGCAGGGCACGGAGGCGGCCGCCGCTCCGAGTGACTACAGCTACTGCCCCAGCAAGGGGCAAAGGATCCTTTCATTGCTGTGTCCCCTAATGAAATTAATGACAATCCAGTGAAACCTGGCGAGGAAAACTGAATAACGAGGATTGTTGGCAGCTCCGTGGGCACCAGGCTGCCAGCAAGGAGCGTGAGGCTCCCATCAGAGTGGGAGCCTCTGGAAAAACAGGAGCGCGAGCTCCTCCCAGCGTCCCCACGTGAGGAAAAGGGGTGAAAAAYGGGGGGTTTCTCCCCGGAACAGCCCCGGCCGGCGGCACTCACCGGAAGCCGAACATGATCTCGTCGTGGCGCAGGTGAGCGTCGTCGTCGATGGACAGCACGGCCTCCGTCTCGATCTCGTCCCACGGCAGGAACCGGTTGTTCAGGCTGTTCTTCTCCGTGCGGACAACCTAGGAGGTAGGAAGGGGCCCCGGTCACCGCGGCTGCCCCACGGCAGCGAGTCCCAGGGCACCCAGTGCAGGAGACAAGTCCAGGCGGGCGCCGGCTTAACCAGCACGAGCCCTTCAAGGACCTGGCAGCACCGGGATGAGCAGCTCTTGGGAAAGCAGCTGTGAAGGATCACATGGAGGCCCCACAAGGGGCAAGGATCCTYCTTCCATGGACACCTCTTCATCCAAGGGCTCCCGGCACATGTGGTGCTGCCTGGAAAGCAGCTTCATTCCAGCTTCTCAACAAGGATCCAGGCCCCACATCCCAACTGTCCCAGCACCTCTGCTCCCAGAAGCTGAGGGAGGGCAGGTTTTGCCTGCTGCCCCATCCTAGATTTCCTGGCCAAGCCTCTTCCAAAGCTCTCCCGCTGCCAGAGGGACCTCAAGACACCTCTGCCCTTTAGCAAGCCACATTTTGAAGGAGATCATGCAGAAGTTTAATGTCTYTCATCAGAAGGTGCCATTAGTCGGACAAAATCACCAAGCCAAAGAGCAAACTTCACCAGCCAGATTCCCACTGCTTTTGTGGGAACGAGCAGAACACCAAGGGGGCTCAAAGCAGGAAGTTTAGGGTCAAAAAGGCCTCTCGGGTCTTCTGCATAACCCAGATCACAAGGAGCCCATTTCCGACATGGGGCCAAAGGACCTGTGCTGGAAAAGCATCTCCTCTCCACCCAAGGACAACCAACCAAGACTGGGAGATTCCAACCTCTTAGGTCAAGCTGTGAGGTAGGAAAAGCCTCTGAGCTCCTTGGACACCCCACTGGAAGCTGCTGGCCTCTTCATTCAGGGTGCCTCAGCTCCACAAGGTCTTTTTGACTCCAAGAGCACCAAGCCCCACAACTCTAAGCAAGGCTGTTGACTCATGCCAACTGTCCCAGCAGTTATTCCTAGTCAGATCAGCCAAATGGACCTCAAAAGTGTTAGACTGAGCTAAAAGAAGGTGTAAATCTAGAGTCTGTTCACCAATAATGCCCTTTTGTATTAAATCAATGCATTTTGAGGGTGGAGATATGAAGAAGGCTCTCGCCCTGGGAGAAATCCTGGCCATCCAACCTAGGGAGCTGCACGAGTCCTGGGCAAAGAGCAGCCTCTGCAGGAAACCCTGAGCCTCATCGCCCACGTCAAGTCGGGAAGAAAGACGGAGGCTGTTTTGGGAAGAGTCRGATAACATGGGGAGTGAGGTCTCAGAAAAGGATGAGTTTCTGGCATGCCCATTTTCATGGTAATTCAACCCAAATGAGTCACGTGTCACCACAGCCACAGAGGGGATGGAGGCCCCATGAGCTGCCCTTCCCGGAGCGGTTTGGAACGACCCGCGGAGCTGAACACGCCATCCCTGTCATAGAATCGTAGGACCATAAAGGTTGGAAAAGACCTTYGAGATCATGAAGTCCAACGTTTCCCACCTGCCTCAATATTATGTTGGCTTTGAAGAAAGGGAAAGAGAAGACCCGTCCCACGCACCTGCAGCTCACACGCCGCTCCCAACGAAGGCTGTTGCATTGATTTCCTTCTCGCTCCGTTACCTCCTGCTCATCCATCGACGAGGGGCTGGGAGAGAAGGCACCAGGGCTGGGCAGCAACAGGTCGAGCTCTCCGTCCCAAAGCAGCTGATGAGAAGCCAAAGAAGCTGCTACCACACGCGCCACCCAAAACATCTCTGGAGCCCTCTGCACATTCCCAGGATGGAAGAGGTTTGCCTGGGTCACACAGTTCCCCTTCCATTTCTTCCAGAAATATCCTGATCTTAAGTTCTCAGYGTTTCCTCACTACCAACAGCCTGTGGATAAATGGTCCGTGAAAGCTGGTGAGATGCCCTCAGTCCGGACCTGACACCCGCACAGCTGCCCTGGCCAAGGACAACTGTGGTGGAGCTTGGGGACGAGGATCCATCACCTCCTGAGAGAGAAAAGTCTCCGGTTTGGCCTTGGGGAACTATTATCCTGATGCCAACAGCAGCTTCCACCACCAAAATAGCCCAGATGAACGATGACGCAGATGATGACGATGACGCAGATGAATGAATCCAATCACTACTGGCCTGCACGTCTTCACKGGCCAAGAAAATGTCCAGCCTCACCAGCAGAGGATGGACACGTGTTGATGGGCCAGGCTCATGTGCAGCTCTGCTCCAGCAGCCCCGAATGTGGTCGGAGCTCCACTGGCTCCATGTCCAGCATCTCCTTTCCACCCTGRCCCAGCAAAAACCACGCTCATTTATGCCCTGGACTCACCTCGCTAGACACGACCTCCCTGTGCTTTGCAGCCTCCAATTTAGAGGYGCTGTCCAAATCTGAAGGATTTCCAGCTTATTTTAGGACTCATCTCCAGGGGAATGGAGGAGTTTCACCAGAAGGTACCAGCCACCAAAGCTGCCCAAGGACAGCATATATTTGCCATAGAAACTGGCAAAACAGACGCATTTTTAAAATACGCGTAATTAAATAAYGCAACGTGAAAGTAAATCTAAATCATGCCCCACCGAGAGCAAAACCACACAAGAAGATACTTGTGAAAATCCCTTTTTTTAAACCTATCCCGGGTCCACGCACAGAATATGTGCAAACACTCGGGCTGCCTTTAATCTGCTGTCCTGCTAGCAGTGGGTTGCTYGTCTGCGAGGGGAGAAAACAGCTTGTGATACAAATAACACCGATTATTTATTCATTTCCATGCGGGTGCAGCTGTCACGTCCTTCTGAAGCAACTTGGGGAGAAGAACGCTTATTTTAACATTAAAGAGACGCAGATACTTATTTTTATTCTCTGGGTGTTGCTGTTTGCAGCTGAAGATGGATGTGGAATTGGTTGGGGGTCTCGTTGGGTTCCTCCTTCAGCTTCCAACTAAAAGGAAAATTATCCTAGGTACTTTGCAGTGATGGCACCAAAAGAAAATAGGACCTTCAAATACTGCTTCAGCCTCCATGGCCTCTGGCCATCTATCTCTGCCTCTAATTTGACCCTCCCTGCCCCTTTTTCCCCTGGAAATGACCTGTTGGCTGCCACGGATGTTGACACAATGGGTTGATGACCAGGTCTCCTTAAGGACCTTGTGGTAATGTGAAGAGCTGAAGGTTGTTGGATGGAACAGCCACAGCCCAAGGCTCTTTTCCAAAAGCTGGGCGGATATCTCAGGAATATCACTAATACCCTAAGCCATGAGGAGCATGGACAGACGTCACCCAACGCTTGGCGACGTGCTCGTCATGTCTCCGTGCTGCACCAAGACCACTTTGCTCACATAGAGGTGACTTTTCTAACCAGTCTTCACTGCTGGAAAAGAGAAGATGCCCAAAGACCCAACGGGATCCTGATAGGATCCCAAATGCTGCAGAGCAGAAACCTTCCCGGCTTAGTCTGGTAGATCAAACCAGCTTGGGAATGGGTGGGAAAGCTGCCAAAGAGGCTGGGAAAGGATTCAGGTTTCTCTGCTCGGGGGTTAAGCCAAATTGTTGCTCCCAGGAGCAATAGGGAGCCTGTTTCTGGCTGATCCCTGCCCTGTCTCCTCCAGCATGGACAGCACGTGTTGTGAGGGTGGCTTGGTGTGACCTCCGCACCTTGTTCTCCTTGGAAGAGGAGCCTAAGACAGATGCACAGAGCACAAAGCCTTGTCCCTACTGGAWAAAAATATCCACAAACACCTTCAACTACTGAGGTCCAGATCCCTCCAACCCTTCATTCYCACGAGGCCTCTGCGAGCTAATTCACAAACTTCTCACTCCATTGCAGAAACCACGTGGCAAATCCCAAACACGATGCAAATCCCCTGACCTGCTGCCGAATCTACCAGCAAAGAGACCCAGAGCTCAGGGATGGACAGGGGAGAGGTTCTCACCTCTCATCTGCAAGACAGAGAGCRTGTAAAAATGAGCAGAGTGGTCTGGGAGGACATTGGAGGTGTCCTGGTCTCACCAAGCCAGCAGYTGCTGTGCAATCCCACGTCAGCAGCATTCCCGGGAAGACAATGTGAGCACGTACAATTTGGAGACATATAGATCTGCAACGGGGAGTCCAAGCTCCTGCAATGGAAGAAGGAAGTGCTGGAAACCAAATCCTGTTGCAAATCCTCAGTATCAGTGGGCAACTACATCTTGAGCAGGTTCCTTCCCTAGTGTCTGTCAAGCAGGGTTTCCTTTAAAGCCATAAAAGACCACGTACAGCAGAGGAGGTGTGATTGTTTTTCAGTGTGTTAAAAATGGTGCATTTCATCACTGGGGATATGTTTACTTTGGGGGACGGTCGCAAAAGGAAGGTTATTGCTCTGCAGGCAGAGCTGCCATCCGAGAGACCC